TCTCCTGACCTCGTGATCCGCCCGTCTCGGCCTCCCAAAGTGCTGGGATTACAGGCTTGGGCCACCGCACCCAGCTGGGGAAATCTTAAATGCTTAAAAAATACTGAAGCCCCTTTAGAAAATTTCATTCCTTTAATATATGAAAAGCAAAATTAATTCCAGTGTTAGACATGATTCAAGCTCTCACTGCTTTGGTTACCAATTATCATCTGCCATCTCATCTCTCCCATTCTCAGCTATTACTTTTCTAAAAAAATGAACCACATTGTTTTTTAAAATCAAGTTTTCACAGTCATTTCATTGTTAATGGACATTTGGCTGACATTCCCACCAGCAACGTATGAGGTTTCCAATTTTTCCACTTCCTTTCCAATGTTTACCATCTGATTTTTATATGCTAGTCATTCTAGTGGATGTGAAATAGTATCTCACTGCGGTTTTTAATGAAAATTAATGAAACAGAAAATAGAAAAACAATAGAGAAAATCAATTAAACCAAAAATCTGGTTTGTTGAAAAAAATCAAGTTGACAAACCGTTAGCTAGATTGACCAGAAAAAGAGGGCAGACTTAAATTACTAGAATCACAAATGAAACAGGATAAATTACCACTGACCTTACAGAAATAAAAAGGATTATAAAGGAATGCTATGAAGAACTGTACACCAACAAATTAGATAGATGAAATGAACAAAGTCTCAAAAAGACAAATTACTGAAACTGACTCAAGAAGAAATGGACAATATGAACAGACCTGTAACAAGTAAAGACTGAATTAGTAATCCAAAAATTACCTGAAAAGAAAAGGCCAGGCCCAGATGGCTTCTCCGCTAATTCTACAAGATTTTTAAAGAAAAGTTAATACCAATTCTTTATAAACAATTCCAAAAAACAGAGAGGTCACACAGTTTTCAAGTGGCAGGGCCAGGATTTAAATCTAGGCAATCTGGCTCCAGAGTCTACACTGTTGACCACTATATTCAACTGTCTCTCTGAATAACTAAATTTGAGCACATTATAGGACATCAAGTTATTTCGTATCACCCAACTTTTGTAGTTTACCTTGGTATTTGCCCACTTAGGTCGTCTATAGAGAAAAAAGTTGAATGCAGGGACTCTAGAGAACACCATTTACACAATCCACAATGTTGCTGTATTTTATGGAGCAAAAATGCATGGCACTTACTAAGTTCATTTCTAAAAAGAGTTATTTTAGAGACAGGTTCTCACTCTGTCATCCAGGCTAGAGTGCAGTGGTATGATCATAGCTCATTGCAGTCTTGAACTCCTGGGATTAAGCGATCCTCCAACCTCAGCCTCTAGAGTAGCTGAGACTATATAGGAAGGCGCCACCACATCCAGCTGAATTTTTTGATTGTTTTAATAGAGACGAAGATTTAAACCCCAATCTGTCTGATCTCACGGCTCACAATCCCACTCGATAGAGTCTCTTTCTACCATTATTCTGTCTTTTCCTATTCAACCAGTGTAGTCTATCTTGGGCTTATCCCGTTAGAGAGCTCTGGGAGAGCCAAGGCCCTGTCCTATTATCCACCAGCATATCCTCCCTGGCCTACAGGAAGAGAACAGGTATGCTCCTTCATTATCTGCTGATTGAGTAAACAATTATCCAAAACTGACTGTTAATTATCTCTCAATTTGGATACTTTATTCCCCTCCATTACTCCTTAGCATTAAAATGATGAAGTGTAGGTCCTCTCACCCATTTAGCTAATCAAATATTATACACAGTTACTATATGCAGCTTAAAATTACTAAGCTCAAAAATTCAAAAGACACAAATACATACTTATTCCTTAAAATAACACTAAGGGGCCGGGCACGGTGGCTCACACCTGTAATCACAGCACTTTGGGAGGCTGAGGCAGGCAGATAACCTGAGGTCAGGAGTTCAAGACCAGCCTTCCTGGCCAATAAGGTGAAACCTTATCTCTACTACAAATACAAAAAATCAGCCAGGCATGCCCCACGCCTGTAATCCCAGCTACTCAGGAGGCTGAGGCAGGAGAATCGCTTGAACCTGGGAGGCGGACATTGTGGTGAGCTGAGATCATGCCATTGCACTCCAGTCTGGGCAACAAGAGCGAAACTCCATCTCAAAAAACAAAACAAAACAAAACAAAACACACACAGAGCAAGGAAATTTAGGAAACATTTTAAACAGAAGGATCGCTTTTGCATTCAAAATTGAGACTGCCGTTCATTATTTTGAGTCTCTAAAAATGCCTTTTTTTTTTTTTGCCATAGGAAACAACAGTTGCACTAAGTTAATACATGAAATTCTACTGCCTGAAGGAAATAAGGTATTTGGCAGAAAATTTTAGCTAGCAAACTTTTTGAATGCATACAGAGAACTTACATTAGCCTATATTAACCTCTTTCCTAAAGAATTAATGATGTTGCCTGATGACTTGTGATACAGAATGAAAAAGAAAGAATGATGGCCTCTTAGGGCAGCAATCTATATAGTAGTTTCCAAATCAGCCTCAAGTGGAAACACAGATATTTGAAAAATTAACAATTATTTTCAAGGTAATTATTCCTATCACAAAATAAAGCAACAAATAAATATGGGAGTCTTCAAATAATGCTGTTTCATTATAATGTTGATGAGGAAAAAAAGTGATTCCAGGCCGGGGCCACTGTCTGTGGGGAGTTTGTATGTTCTCCCCATGTCTGCATGGGTTCTCTGCAGGTATTCCGGCTTCCCCTACCACATGCCGAGGATGTGCATGTGAGACGACTTGGTGTGTCTAAATTATCCCCGTCTGAGTGAGTGTATGTGTGTGAGTACACCCTGTGACAGGATGGTGTCCTGACCAGGAGGGTTTCTGCCTTGTGCCCTGAGCTGCCAGGACAAGATCCTGCCACCTATCACCCTGAACTGGAATAAGTGGGTTGGGAAATGAATATAAATTATTGCAAAATAAAAATTCATAAAGTCCACAGTAATCAAACCAAATGCATGACAATAAACTATGCAGTAAGAAGGCACTCAGTGAGGCCGGGCATGGTGGCTCACGCCTGTAATCCCAACACTTTGGGAGGCCAAGGAGGGTGGATCACAAGGTCAAGAGATCGAGACCATCCTGGCCAACATAGTGAAACCTCGTCTCTACTAAAAATACAAAAATTATCCGGGCGTGGTGGCACATGCCTGTAATCTTAGCTACTCGGACGGCTGAGGCAGGAGAATTGCTTGAACCCGGGAGGCAGAGTTGCAGTGAGTCGGGATTGCGCCACTGCACTCCAGCTTGGCGACAGAGCAAGACTCTGTCTCAAAAAAAAAACACAAAAAACAAAAAACAAACAAACAAAAAAAGCAAGCACTCAGTGAGCCTGTCATACCTGTGATTGACTGCATAGTGGTAGGAGGTACTCCTGACAACTTTTGCTTTACAAACAATTATTCCTTAATATAATCCACCACCACTATGACTGCTGTCACTCACTGATTCATCAAAAATTGGGTAAATAATTTTGTTATTAGTCTTTAATCTTAAATGTATGTATAGCTCACATTTATTTCAATATTTAATATTAGAGGTGTTCTCTATCTTTAGAAATTTGATTTTTTTTTGACCAGAAATATGCCATAGGAACTTAACTCTTGATTAGCCTAGGGTAAAACTGGTTTTGTTATATTTGGTTTCACCTAAAGCTGGTCTCCAAGAACCCACTGATAACGTCAAATGAGGACTTGTACAAGCATTTTAATCCCAATACTTGTATAACTCTGAGAGCTCATTCAAAAATATAATATTAAAATATTTGTCAAATCTTTCTTCTTTCATTTTCAGTTAATATTAACCATTATTTGCTGGGTGGGGAGGGGGGTAGGTAACTAGTTATACTGTTACCTTTACGTTAATGGTTGATCTAAAAATCTGAAAAATCTGCTCACCATTTTTACTGGTTTAAACTGGCATATGTATACTTAGTTTTTGTTTAAAAAATCCTCTGTGAATGTAAATTTGTGTCTTTGCCCTAGAAATATAAGCATTATTAAAAAATGTGAATCTCAACCTTTTGGCTCCTGGTTGCAGTAGGACCCATGGTTAATCGGAGCTTTGGAAGTGAACACACCTGCATTAACATCTTGTCCTGCTACACAGTGCCTTTGGCTAATTACCTATTTTTTGAGACTTGGTTTCCTTACCTACTAAATGGGAATACTGGTAGTACCAACCTCAGACAGTTATTGTGAGGATTAAAGCCCTAGGATAGGGCATGGTACAGAATGAATGGCCAAAGTATGCAATTAGTGTTGTAGCTTTACTATGCATTTCATGTCAAGTTGCCAGCACATACCAAGCTACTTAATGCCTACGTCCTTTTACATAGGTTTCTGACTTAGGATGCTCTCCCCAGAATCTGTCACAAAGTTCCCCGTCCCACTTACCTGGGTCTGACAAATGCTTACTCATCATGGAAAACCCACCTCCAGGATCAAATCCCTCACATGGAATTATACTTCTCAACCTATTTTATAATAACTTCTTAACCAGGCCTCGAGATCACTAAAGGAACAACCCATGACTCATTCACCCCCATATATCTCAGCACTTAGTACAATCCCTGGTCCATGGCAAATGGTCAATGACTGCTAAATGGACATAATCAGCCTTCTACTATTCCACAGTATTAACAAACAATCAAGTGTATGAGAAACTGAGAGACTTGGAGTTTAAACTATACCCACAAGGTTCAATAAGAATCAGATTCTACCAGTTTTTGGTTCAAAGTAAAAGTTCAAGTCACCTTATTAAAAGCAGATAGGCCACCCTACTCATGCAAAAAAAAAAAAAAAAAGTTACAAATAAATGTTCTTGTCATTTTTTTTCTTCCATGACAGCACCCTAGGACATATCACATGCTGACCTACCTCCAAGGGACTGTTTTGAAAAAACTGAGCACACTGATTTTTCTTTCCTTTCAAAAGTGAGGGTGCCAGCTATTGCGCTAGCCCCTGTCACTCACCTCAGCCACCTGCTGGGTCCCCACTCTGTGCTGAACCAGCCCCTCCATATTTGTAGCCATGGTGAAGCAAGATCATTAGAGAACCTGTTTGGAAAGATGTAGCAACTTCTATCAGGTGGGGAGAAACCAGGCTACTTGAAAAATATTAGTAATCAAAACTCAACTTTGGTACTGTCTTGTGTGGATTTTGCCTTCTGTAGCACACAGACCTAGCAGGCTAGACATAGCTGTATATACTGCACCAGCTCCTTCAGTTACAGGTACCAAAATTAATTTGTAGAAACATTTCAATTTAGAAACTTCTACTGACAAATACAGACAAAGATGAATTTGGAAATTTATCAGGTCTCCAGGGTTGTAACAGCTTGGTTTACCTCTCAGAGAGGTGGGAATCACACCTTTTTGGATAGCTCCCTGTCACACTATGCTAAATAAGGAGGTGGGTATCTGAGAAAGGTGCGACATCAACTCTGGATAGAGCCCTAGATTACTATCATCAACCATACTTCTTTTAGTAGTGGCGAAGTGAAGTAAAACCCTGCTTGGTGCTAACATACCTCACTCATAGGCTGAAAGGCAAATACTATCACTAACAAAGCAAGAAGCAAAGAGACTGCATTACTAAAGTGTGCCAACAAGAATATGGTACCCATACATATATTTATTTATATTAAATCCTCATTAAATTACAAAACTAGATAATTAGGCTTTCTACTAGCAGCAAAAATAGATTTGATGTCATTATTTGTAAAAATTTAGAAAGATCATCTAAAGATCAAAGAGTGTGCTGGTCCCCTGGGTCAAGACATTTGAGTACCAGCATTGCTGAAGGAGCAGACACCTGGTCTCTTCCGGTCATGAGACAGCTCTCCTGAATAATTCCTAAGCCCTTTCAAAGGCTCTACCACAAAGAATTCAGTAAAATCTAGACCCAATTCCTGGACAATTCACTACTGACTGTGTAGGTCCCATGGTCCACAGGAGAACAAAGCTCAAATCTATTTCCAAAATTCAGATATAAAAACTATATAGTATTACTGAGTGTGTAATATAGAAGAATACAGTTCACTTGCGTGCTCTCTCTCAATCACAAAGTGCATTATCTTGCAATGTAGTTTTACAAAATATTTTTCTGTAGTTCCTATCTAAAGTATTATAAACATTGCTGTCTATGAAGCTTTTTAACTCTCTGGTAACTTTCTACATCATTCTATTTATTATTAGATAGCCACCTCTATTATGATAATTCGAATTCACATATTTTATTGCCAAAATGCTAAGAGAAAGAAACAGGAGGATGAAACTGTGACTGACAAATATGAAAGACCTGGCTCCTGCCTTCAATGAGTCAAAATCCTTGACAGTAGATACTGTACCAACTGCTACAATGACACCAGACCACCAGTATCAGTGACTCATTTTCACAAAATATGACTAGGTCTGAAATTGAGGCGGTCATGTTTATTCTTTTAATAGATGGTAAAAACTTAACTTTTACTTGTTTCTAGGAAAAAACACAAAGACACATTTTGGTCTTTTTTTCTTGCTATAGTTTGGTTACAACTAATGGAGATGGAAGGAAAAGGCATCTTTAAGTGTACCAGAAAAGTCAACTGACTTGTTAAAAATGCAAGCATTACATGTAAAAGTCTAGAGTTCGATTCTTCCTCAAAATAGAAAATAAGAATTTTTAAAGAAATGGATAACCAAAAGGTACCATACATTAAAAAAAAAAATCTAAACGTGGCTGCAACTAATAATTTTTATCACTTTTAGATGTCAATAAAATTTCTCCTCTGTTATTAACAATGCAAGAAATATGTGAATTTGAATTATTACAGAAATATTGTTAGGAAAATATTATTGAATAGTATAGAAACAACAGAATACTAGAAAGGTGTATCTTTCTATTGGGTTCCCTAAAAGAGGTGGCTTGATACATCAAATTATGAGTCAAAGTGGATTTTATAGATGACAATCTGATTTAATGGAGGCCTAGTACAGAAACCTTTCTGTAATAATTCACTTTAACACTAAATTTGCAGGATCAATCAACTTCAGGTAGGGCTTAGGATCCCAAGATAAATCTAACAACAGGTGACTACAAATATTATGTCACAGAGAAGCAGCAGTAAATCTGTTTAAATTTAGAAAAGCTAAGTATTCTGGACATTAATGTTTTGTTGGTATGTTATAAATATCTTCACCCTCTCTGTGGTTCATCTGTTTACTTTAAGGTGTCTTTTGATGAATAGAAGTCCTTAAATTTAATAAGGCTAAATTTATCCCTATTTTCTTTTACAGTTTGTACTTTATGAAAATCCTGTCCTATCCCAGGAATATAATTGTATATATTTTCTTAGAAATATGAGTTTTGCCCCTCATATTTAAGTCCTCAATCCATCTGCAAATTGATTCTTGAATTTGATGAGAAATAAGGATACAACTAATTTTTTTCCCATGTAGATAATCCATTTTCCATTTTCTGTTCAAGAAATAGTTCTGGAAAATGGATTATCTACATGGGGGAAAATCTATCCTTTTCCCCACTGATCTGAAATGCCATGTCTGCCATATCTCTGTTTTTCCTATATATGTGGCTATAACTGTAGGTTCTCTATTCTATTCCACTAAGTTCTCTTTGTCTTTCTCTTGGTCACCAACACTATCTTTTTACTGCAGTGTTAGCATTAAGTCTTGCTCTCTGATAGGACAAGTGCCCCCCACCTTGTTCTCCCGCACCAACTTCCTGGATCATCTTAAACGCCTCTCTTTATACACTTGAATTGAGCAGCAACCTTTCTTTATACACTTGAATTCTTACAATTCTTGATCTCACTGTTGGTTTTCTGCCTTCAAAGCAGCGTCAGGCATCATCAACAGCAGCTTTGGAAGCCGCTTAAAAATGAACAAGGAGGAATGTGCACCTTCTGGAAAAACAAGCAGAAACAAAAAAAAGAGACTAAGAGTGAGAGAGAAATTGAAAGAGAAACTATGTTAAAGCAAGTGCTTTCAATAAAGACATAAATCCAGTCAGAGGAGGTAGGTGAGAAGTAGTTTCAAAAAATACTTTCTATTACTTTTGAAAATAAGTCACAAACCATATCCTATTCTCATACATAAAAAAGGAAGACAGAGGCTTTTTCTTCCAGGATATCACAATGTAAGAAGTAAAACAAAATCCTCAAGTGATGTCAGGGAAGTGGGGCAGGGTGGACATTTAACTAAAATGCACCCAGACTAAAAAGGTAACATCAGGGGATAAGACTCTCACCTGAGAGCTTCTCTCACTGCTACCGCAGCCATAGGCGGTCCTAGAGACAGAAAGATCACACAGTGAGAAGGAAGGAAGGTCATACATCTTTGAAAAAGTACCACCAGACAATGGCTACCAATTAGGAGATGTCCCACTAGAATAAGAGACTCCAAGGAACAATGGGTTGTGTCTATATGTAGTTTGAAAAACTATCTTCACTAGCACAATTTTATATGTATATATTTTTTGAGACGGAGTCTTGCTCTATTGCCAGGCTGGAGTGCAGGCGCGCGATCTCGGCTCACTGCAACCTCCGACTTCCTGGTTCAAGCAATTCTCCTGCCGCAGCTTCCCGAGTAGCTGGGATTACAGGCATGCGCCACCACGCCCAGCTAATGTTTGTATTTTTAGTAGAGATGGGGTTTCACCATGTTGGCCAGGATGGTCTCAATCTCCTGACCTCGTGATCCACCCACCTCAGCCTCCCAAAGTGCTGGGATTACAGGCGTGAGTCACCACGCCCGGCCAATCTGGAAAAAAAAAAAAAAAAGAAAAACAAACAAACAAACAAAAATCCTATTGTTTTGCCACTATAAAGTATAGAAATAAAGCTTTTAAAAACAACCTTCTTGACTGGTAGAGCCAAGCATAACACTAACAGCAGTAACTAACATTAAGTGGCTACCATACACAGGCATTATATTAACAAGCACTGTGGACAGAACACTAAACTCGCTTTTGGTACAGAAACTTGAGTCTTAAAGGCTAGTACTTGACCCATTCAGTTTATCAACCCTCAAAGACTGCTTCCCACCCCCACAATAATGTTTAGGGGAAAGAACCTGATTAGCTACCAAAAGAAGTATAATACTGAGTACCTTCAGTTAAAAAAGAAAAAGTGCTACAGAAGATCTTCCTCTGGTGATTTTACTAATCAAGTTCAACCACCTCCATCAGTGCTTATTAAGTAACTGCCATGAACTCGGCACGATGAACTGACTGCTGAGAATGAACAACAACAAAGAGGAGGAAGAGGAAAATAAACAGTCCTTGTTCTTGACGAACTTATGAAGGAAACTGAAGTATCTATGCAAAGTAAATGCTATGAATGTCCCAGGGAAAACACATTTCTCTCTGACTGTGAGAACCAATGAAAATGTTACAGGAGAGGAATTATTTAACCTAGGTCTCGAAGGAAAAATGGAAACTTAGCAAGGAAAGACAGATGGATGACAAGAGAGTTCTAAGCAGAGAGGACAGCTCATACGAAACTGGCAGGTATGAGGAAGAATGGCCTATTTGAGGAATGGCACACAATATGGTTTGGAATTATTACAGAGACCAGGGAAGGAGAGAGGCTGACACAGTAGACGAGAGAGAATTATCAGGAGTTTGGCAGAAAAATAATGCACTCATATCTGGATCTTAAAAAAAAAAAAATTTAGACTGCAGTGTGAAAACGATAGAAAAGACAGAGACTGTAGACGGGAGGCCCGTTAGGAAGTGGTAGCAATAGTAAAGTCTAGAGATGAAGGCGGATTCTTAAAGTAGTGTGTTTTTCCTGGATAGCACACAAATGACAACAGGGCACAGTATAAAAAAACTATTTCATATCCAGCCTGGGCAACATCATGAGACCTTATCTCTAAAAAAAAAAAAAACTGTAATACAGACCATAGAATGATAGCAGTAAATCATACTTGGCTGACCTTATGTCACAGGTTTTATAAGAAATTCTTTCAAATCCAAGTGGATCAATATCACCCTATCAACAACAAAGAAGCAGAGAACACAACAATGACTTTGAATTAGCTCTTCCAGGCTCAAA